CGACCTCCCGGGTTCAAGCGATTCTCCTACCTCAGCTTCCCAAGTAGCTGGGACCACGGGTGTGTGTCACCATGCCTGGCTAATTTTTTTGTATTATTAGTAGAGATAGGGTTTCACCATGTTAGCCAGGATGGTATCCATCTCCTGACCTTGTGATCTGCCTGCCTTGGCCTCCCAAAGTGCTGGGATTATAGGCGTGAGCCACCACGCCTTGCCTGGAGTCCATTTTACTCTGTGGTTTTCCCCAAATTCAGCAACGATGAGGCAAATACAGCCTTGTGCAGGGCCAAGAAGCGAGAAAGGAGAAGGCAGAGAAGGCAAGAAGCAGGAAGGAGGTACAGGGCTGAGTGGCCCGGCCAGGCGGGGCCAGGAAGACAAACTTACTTTTGTAGATTGGCCATCTGCTTCACAGCTTCCACGGCCCCTGGCAGAGGCTCAAGTTCAAAAAAGAAATTCTTTGACTCCCAAATGCTGATGGCCTTCTCCTGAAAAGTTGAGAAAAACAAGTTACTTCTAGGGTCCTCAGCACCTTACCGCCCTCATCTCAGGGAGTATATCAGGCTGTGGGGGGAGGGGTTCCACATTCTTCTCACTTCCCCAAGGACATAACACACACCCAAGGACATATTTCCTGGGGGAAGGGCAGGGAGTGTGTGGGCTTCGAGCCCCTTTCCAGAAGGGACCTGGCTTCTGTCGGGATCCAGCAGAGACCAGCTAAAATGCCAGGGCTATGGAGCTCTCTGGGACCTGAGGCCAATTGTCAGAAACTGCGTGCTTGCTAGGCTGGATTCAAGTGGCCAAAAGCATTGTGGAGACTGAGGCTGGAACAGCTCTTTCTGTGGCAGTAGAGTCCTTAAACTTGAGAACTGGTGGGACTCAGAGATCTTTAAGGGCATTGTGTGCCCTGAGGGACAAGGGGGAGGAGGAGGCAGGGTAAAAGGACAATTCAGGGAGCTCCAGGATCCTCCCCACATCAACCAGAAGAGCTCTGCTTTTATCTGTTTTATATGTTGACGTGCCAGTAAGTACATGAAAAAAAAAAAAAGAACTCTGCTGCTTTTAGAGTTGCAAAGCGAAAATGCAGACCCTCATTTTACTTATGAGAAAACTGAGGCTCAGAACGGGGGAGAGATCCACCTGATGTCACACAGCAAAACAGCAGCTGAGCTGGGAAGAGAAGCTCCAACTCCTAACCCTCTCCTCCCCACTGCCCCACCCCCACTGCCTTTCCCCTTTCCCCTTTTCTGCTGATGGGCCAGAATGCTGCACCTTTTCTAGGGTCAGGCAAGGGGAATGCGACAACCAGAGGGGAGACACATCTCAGCCTACGAGAAGCAGGAGCCTCCATCCCACGTGTGCAGTGCAGGCAGTGCCTTCGCCAGGTCGTTCTGCACGCTATGAAAGATGCCACCGTGTTCCATGGATGACTGGAGGACGCTCTGAGAGCACACCAGCAGCACGCTTAGGAACCACAGGGACTAGGCAAATGCGTGCTTATTACTGAAACACATTTGATCCTCACATCCCACATGGGGTACTGTGAAGTTCAAAGGGAATACAGACAGAGCAGAATTTTGAAAACAGAAATACCTACATACACAAAAGGAGCCACATATGGGGGTGTTGTTTTAACCACAGCTATTGGGCCAGCTCCGCCAAGTGGAGGCCCAGGGATGTCTGCAGCAGCAAACCATCCTAAGGAAGGGAAGTAGGGGAAGCCAGCAGACTACTCCCAGGGCACCGTCCTTATTGCCATGTGCCTTTGCCTTGTGCTTGGAAACCAGTAACCCCGCACTTGCAGACCCTGCACATTTGCACAACGAACTGGAAAAGCCGCTGCACTTTTCAGAGTTGGGGGTGGGCTTGGTTTCCACAATAATACACTCCTAGGCAGATGTACAGTGCCTAGACTCCCGATGTCAAGCGCTGTCTATACACGAATGCTCACGGCACACTGGAGCCTATTCCTGAGGCTGCAGAAAGTACTAGGATGTTTTCTCCAGTTTAAAGTTCATCATTAGGCATCGGCCAAGGAAGAGCCCGGCACACTGGGCTCTGGGAAAGTCAACTTCTGAAGGGCCTGGTGTTGATGGAGACAAATGGCTCTTGGTTTCCTTTTTTAAAACCTGTCCCTCAACAAACATGACTGATGAGGCATCGTTTTGAAGTCAGAAGAGATGCCACTTGTTAGATTCAGCAGGACAGAGAACAGGACTCGAGTGGGGAACTCTAACTGTGCTTGGGAGGCAGACAGACTTGGGTTTGAGTCCTGACTGAGCCCCCTGAGCAGTATGTGACTTGGGGCAAGTTTCCTCATCTGAAAAACAGAGATAATAGCATCTACCCAACAAAAGAGAGGATGCAGTGAACTTGTGGCTAAAAAAAGGGCTCTTGTAACTTCCTTCTCTTTATCAAATCCTCTGGTAGCAACCCTAGGTGGCCAATCAAGGAATGCCAGAAAACACTCAGCCTCTTTAATTTTGTGCATGCCAAAATCTCCTGTTCCTTTTGCAAAATACTTCAAATTTACCAATCAAACTGTGTGTAAATGTCCCTCTTGGATCTTCCTTTCCCCTCTAACCGTCCTGGACAGAATGCCTCGGGAGTCAGAGGGGAGGGGTTGAGGTCAGGTGTTTAGGAAGGCCATATCTGCAAGGGGATAAGACATGAGGCAGCCAGGCATATGGCTCACGCCTGTAATCCCAGAACTTTGGGAAGTCGAGGCAGGCAGATCACCTGAGGTCAGGAGTTCAAGACCAGCTTCGCCAACATGGAGAAACCCCATCTCTACTAAAAATACAAAATTAGCCAGGGGAGTTGGTGGATGCCTATGATCCCAGCTACTTGAGTGGCTGAGGCAGGAGAATCACTTGAACCTGGGAGGCAAAAAATGCGGTGAGCCCAGATGGATGGCTCCACTGCACTCCACCCTGGGCAACAAAAGCAAAACTGTCTCAAAAAAAAAAAAAAAAAGAAAAAGACACGAGGTGGATCCCACCTCACGTTGACCACTGACTCACTGTGACCCCCAGAAAGTCACATAACCTCTCTGGGCCTCAAATACCACTGAAAGCTATGCTTTCACGGACAACGGCAAAAAAGATAGGTAAAGACACCCATAAAAGTCCTGAGGACAAGTAAGTGGGAATGTGATCGCGGTCTGGGTGAAAGAGGACAACTTACAACGTTTATTTTTCTAAAAATTTAACAAACGACTTAAGGCCAAAATATACCACAAATTAACGTCAAAGTCAGCTTTAGATGGAGAGTCAGATACATTAACACTTTTTACTCTCCCGCATTTTCAGAAGCCCTGGATGGCAACCAACAGATCCCGAGCGCAGGGCTGCGTCTTCCCGGTGGCCTGTGGCCCCCTGGTCCCCGCCCCCCCGACCTGACCCTATTCTACCAGAGGGCCATCGCGAGGCTGGGGCGCTGCTGGTCCAAGGTCACCCGCGCAGGGGGTGCCCTGGGCCACGGCTGGGAGGCGACCTCGTTCTCCCGCCGCAGCGGCGCGAGGTCTGGGCCCGGGTCGGGAAGGGGGCCCGGCGCGGGGCCGGGCAGGGACGCTCACGCTCAGCCCTGGCCGCAGGCGGCCGTACTGCTCCGACACCCAGAAGCCGCGCCGGTCCTCCAGCGCGATGAAGGGCTGGTCGGGGAAGCGCGCGCGGAACTTCCTGAGGAATCCGCCCTCGAAGTCGGCCAGCACGCCATCCATGTCCACCAGCACCCGCAGGGCGCGGCCGCCCGCCAGGCCCGGCCCGCCCGCCGCCCCGCGCCGCCCTGCGGGAACCGCCGCGCCACGGGGCCGCCGCGCGCACCAGCCGCCCAGCCGGATCATGGCCCAGCGCGCCGGCCCAGCGTGGGCGCGGGGACCTGGGCCGCGCGGGGCTGCCGGGCCCGGCCGGTGGACATGACCGCGGCGGAGGACGAGCCCCCAACTCCTGGACGCGCGCAGGGCGCCGAGCTAGGAACGCGGGGCGCGGGCGCGCAGGTGCCCGCCCCAGAGAGAGGCAGCGGCGCGCGCGGCCCTTAAAGGGACCAGTGCCGGAGGAGGCGGAGCCCGGGGGCGGGGCTTGGAGGACCGAGAGCCCTGGGCCCCCGGAGCTTCTGGAAGGTGCGCATTCCCGCGCTCTCTATTGGCGTCTTCTCCCTGGACCCTGGGCCCGGACTGCCTTCTCCGACTGCACAGGGGACCACGGAGGAGCAGTGCAAACCGAGGAGCGGGCCGGTGTCGTTAGACATTTCTGAGCACTTACTGTGTCGCGTGTGAACCAAATAGACAAGGTTCTTGCCATCCTGGAACTTACGTTTTAGAAGGGGAGCCAGACAACAGCATGGAGAAACCAAAACAGGGTGATGTGTACTCTGAAAACCTCTCTGCTTTGTTTACAGCAAGTGCCTGCGGAGAGACTGATAGAACCAGTAACGTGCTAACATCTAATAGCCTTAGTAAAAATGATTCTCATGTAAATATATGAATATATATTGTATATTATGTACCCCTGTATAGTCTGCTTTATTTTGGAGACAAATTCTTGCTCTCTTGCCCAGGCTGGAAGCTGTGGCGTGATCCCGGTTCACTGCAGCCTCAACTTCCTGGGCCCAAGGGATCCTCCTGCTTCTGCCTCATGAGTAGCTGGGACCACAGGGGCATGCCACCACACCCTGGTAATTTTTTTTTTTTTTTTTTTTTTTTTTTTTTTTTTTTTTTAGGACTGGGCTCAAGCAATCCTCCCATCTCAGCCTCCCAAAGTGCTAGGATAATAAGGGTTAACAAGAATGAGGTACCACCATGCTCAGCCCACTTTTTTTCTTTACAAGGAAAAAACAAAACAAAAACCTTAAAGAGTATGGCGATGGGATGGTGGAGACAGGTGAGGGGATTAGCAGGGGTGGGCAGGGAGGGCCTCTCCTAGGAAGTGATACTGGAACAGACACGATAAAGAGAAAGAGCAGAGCAGCACCACCGGGGTTGACTCCTGGGGCTCAGAGAGGAGTCGGTAGGTCGGGGTCTGTGCCCACAGAGATATGAGGCTGAGCTGGGTCCAGGTCCTGACAGTACTGTCCATCTGCCTGAGCGCCATGGCCATAGCCACGGGGGCCGAGGGCAAAAGGAAGCTGCAGATCGGGGTCAAGAAACGGGTGGACCACTGTCCCATCAAATCTCGTAAGCGGGATGTCCTGCACATGCACTACACGGGGAAGCTGGAAGATGGGATGGAATTTGACAGCAGCCTGCCCCAGAACCAGCCCTTTGTCTTCTCCCTTGGCACAGGCCAGGTCATCAAGGGCTGGGACCAGGGGCTGCTGGGGATGTGTGAGGCGGAAAAGCGCAAGCTGGTGATCCCATCCAAGCTGGGGTATGGAGAGCAGGGAGTTCCCCCAAAGATTCCAGGTGGTGCAACCCTGGTGTTCGAGGTGGAGCTTCTCAAAATCGAGCGACGATCGGAGCTGTAGCCATACTGGGGAGGGGCAGGGGGAGAGGCCCCATCCAGGGACCAGACTGTTATAAAAAACAAAACAAACAAAAAACCTTAGAAGCCCCCCCTACCCCCGCCAAAAAAAGAGAAAAAGCAAGCAAGAACCAAAGAAACAATAGGCCCTGTCCACAAGGGCAGCAAGCTCAAAGGCCTGAGGGCTCAGGAGGGATCTGGGTTGCGCACTCCTTATGAGAATCCAATGCCTGATGAGCTGTCACTGTCTCCCATCAGCCCCAGATGGGACCATGTAGTTGCAGGAAAAAGCTCAGGGCTCCCATTTATTCTACATTATGGTGAGTTGTATAATTATTTCATAATATATTACAGTGAAATAATAACAGAAAGCACGGAATAAATGTAATGGGCTTGAACTATCTCCACATCATCATTTCCCCTTCTCCTGGGTCCGTGGAATAGTTGTTTTCAAGAAAAGCGTCCTGCAGGTTGATTCTAAATGTAGAGTGTTTTGGCAAATCGTGTCAAACTAAGCAGAAAGAGGTGCAAGGATGCTTGTCAACCAAGCAGCAAGAAGGGTGAGGAGCCCAGTTTCCTGCCCTCGCCCTCAGAGGACGTGGCCAGGACTCCACAAGACCCTTCAGGGGGTGGCGTGGGAACACATCCACCATCTCCACCATCCCCAGGAAGCAGCAGAGGGGGGCACACTGGCAGAGCCCCACGTGTTGTAGAGCAGGGCCAGCAGATCTGCACTCAGCCTCAGTCCTAGGGAAGCTGCAAGACAGACTGAGACCCTCATAGGTTCGGCTCTGTGTCCCCACCCAAATCTCATCTGGAATTGTAATCCTCCTGTGTCAAAGGAGGAAGCTGGTGGGAGGGGATTGGATTTGGGGACAGTGTCCCCCATGCTGCTCCCCTGATAGTGAGTGAGTTCTCAGGAGAGCTGATGATTTTAAAATGTGGCACTTCCTCCTTCTCCACTCAGTCCCTCCTGCCTCCATGTGAAGAAGGTGCCTGTTTTCCCTCCGCCTTCTGCCATGATTGTGAGTTTCCTGAACTGCAAGTCAATTAAACCTCTTTATAAATTACCCAGTCTCAGGTATCTCTTTATAGCAGCATGAAAACAAACTAATACAGACCCCTTCCCTGAGGTGCCTTCGCCTTAGGCCACCAGCTGCCCCCACGCTCCACCTCTGCTGCCTGGTCTTGCTTTTCCCCTCATTAGGCCCAAGCGATCCACGTGGCCAGTCCAGCTCCATCCTACTGCGGGCCTGTGTGGCTGCTGGAGAGGCAGGGCTCCTTTCCTCACCCCGAGGCTGCCCGATGTGCTCTCTGGATCCTGGAGGAAACTGACCCCCTATCCTCATACTGGTGCAACTTCTTCTAGGACCTCAAAGCTGGATGACGTGAGTTGGTCTTTTCTCTTGTCTCCACTTGCTGCTAGGGCTGTCCTTGGGCCAATGGATGAATGGATGGATGAATGGACAGTAGTCCACAGAGGATGTCCCTGTCTGCCCTGAACTGGGCCCTTCCTCCAATGAGAAGCCTTCCTGAGTGAGTGTATACAGTCATCCCTTGGTATTCATGGAGGATTAGTTCTAGGGTCCCCGGGGATGCCAAAATCCATGGATGCCCAAGTCTCTGATATAACATGGCCTAGCGTTTACATATGACCTATGCACATCCTCCCGTATACAGCAGACCATCTCTAGATTAGCTGTGATACCTAATGCAATGCAGATAATATCTAAATGGTTGTGATACTGTACTGTGTACGGAATGATGACAAAAACAAATTCTGCACATGTTGATTGAGGCATAAGCATCCAATTTCTTTTCTGAATGTTTTCAATCCACTGTTGGCTGAATGCACAGATGCAGAGTTCCCAGATACGAGGGCCAGCTGTGCTTTGAGAGTAGGATGGGTGAGGCTGCTAATGAGTACAGGGGAGCAGGTGTCCATCAGGAGGGCCCTGCACTGGGGCCTCTGGACGCCCTGTCTCAGGACTTGAGGCTCCAGGTTTGAATGGCACAGGCAGACTCAGCCCAGGTCAAAGCCCTCCCCTTGAATGTTCCTTTTGTCCCAAGTTCTTTCTGGCCCCTGGAATTTGGCATCCCGTAGGCCCTGGGTGGAAGGACAGATGAGCCAGATTTCAGAGAACATGTCTAGAAGAGTGAGCCTCTACTGTGTGCCGGGCACGCTCCCCACAGGATCCTCTAGCTAGAATAACCAAGGGTCATGGAGAGAAACACCCAATTAAAATATCAGAAATAAAAAAGAGATACCATTACAGATAGTATTTTGAAGACCATTAGAGATACTAAAAAGTCCATGAGGTAATAGTATTAGCATTTTGATTCTGAGATTCAACAGCAGGAGTCATTTCCCTCCACCCCTGTGTGTAGCCCAGGACCACCCAGGGCGGGGAGGACTGAGGTCAGGGAGCACCCATGGATGCTCTGACGCTGGCCCTGGGCCCCCGGGGTGACCGTGACGAGGAACTGGGTGCACACATGAGTGGGGCAGCCAGGCCTGGACAGAGAAGCAACATTCAAGTGCACAGACGCATTTACCCACATACACGTGAGCACACAGGTGCACAGACACATTGCACACAGGCCTGTTGGCGCCTCAGGTAGTGGAGGAAGCTGACTCTGGGCCCTGCTGACCCGGGCAAGGCCCCATTGTGATGCGTGCCATGACCTCAGAATGCCACTTGTGCCTAGCACCCGTCTGCTCTCCGGCCTGCCTCTGTGTTCTACAGCGGCTACACACGAACAGTGGCATCTGTGAGCACTTCTGTGTACTCAAAGGTTTTGTACCTGAGAGGCATAACCCAGGCCACCTGATTCATCAGAATCAGGTGAGTGTGACCTGCTCTCTTCTCTCCATGCTGACTTGGGGACAGTGGCTACGGTGTGGGCTGTGCTGGCCTCTGGGCAGCTGCCAAGGAGGGTGATCCTTCAGCACTCAGTAGGTGCCTCTTCTATGCTGCCCATGGAGATGATTGTCTCTTTTGTCCCCATGGTGGCTCCATAGGGTGAGTGCTGTCACGAATGTACCCATTCAACAGGTGAGACTTCTGGGGTCAGAGAGGCAGTAATCAGTCTGGGAATCCAGACGTGACCCTGGGTTTTGCTCTCAGCTCTGCCTTGGGCCGAGAGGGACTTCAGGCCTGAACCCTGGGCCTCCCTGCTCTACATCCCAAATCTGTCCAGGGTTTTCCATCCCGATGGAGCAGAAACTGGCCCTGGCAGAGCCACTGGGATGAATCCACAAATTGACTGGGATGGATATCAAAACACCTCTGTGGCCTAAGCTGGGTCCTGATGGTCACTGTGGGACCCACTGGGCACACAGTGTCTTGTCCAGGAGTGAATGGGGAGCCTTCAGCCTTTGGGCAGTTGTGGAAAATGAAGACTCCCTGAAGGGCTGGCTGGAGGGAGACCGTCCCCCTCCTCTTCAAAGGGTCCAGGCACTGAGATTCTCCCCAGGTATTGCTTTCTCTCTCTGGTCCTATCGAGTCCTCACCCTCCTTTTGCCCCCAGTGTCCCTAGGAGGGATGGTCCATCTAGGTGTTCTCCAGGGGTCCTTCCTCAGTGACCCAGAGAGATGAAGCCCCCTCCTGTGTGGAGAGCTCAGAATGGTGGAGTCCGCTGTCCCTTCCCCAGAGACGTGGTTTCCACGAGCACAGAGGCTGCTTTGGAGACAGTAGATCATTTTCATACCCCAAATCAAACACCCTCCTGCTCAACTGGCGTTATTCCTAAAGTGGCTTCGCTGCTCTGAAGGGCCACGGTAGCCCAAGTGATGAGTGGAGTAGGACAGAGCAGTCAGGAGAGACCCTGTTCCCTGTGGGAAACTGGACATCTCTGTGGTCCCTGAGACTCTCCGGAGGCCGACTGCACAGAGACCTCTGGTCCCTGATCCCAGTCTGCCTCCACATGTCTGGAGTAGCCCATCATGGGCCCTTCAATTTCAGCAACAAGACACCATTCAACCTGTCAGGGCAAGTGTGTGCCCGTTTCATGGCATTTGGGGACAGCGGGATTCTCTGTCCAGGTCCCACTGTTCTCACGTCCTTGAGAAGATGCCCACCCCTGCTTGGGGCTTGAGACTCCAGAGACCCATGCAGGTGTGGGCCACTGCGTCTGGCCCGTTTTCACCTGGCGGCAGTGGTGGAATGGGGGTTACGCAGCCAGCCAGCATCTAGGAGCCCAGCAGGAGCGGTTCAGGTGTTCTCTGAAGCTCTCAGGAGCAGTGTAACCTTTAGACGATTTTGTCTCACAGGATGGAGATGGTAGAGGAAGAGGATATTTTACAGGAGCGGGAGGACATTATCCTCAAGTATGAGAAGGTACAGGTCCGTCTTGCTCCTTGGAAGGGGCCTCTTCCAGTGTGCCCTGGTCAAAGGGGTTTGGGCTCCCTAGGAGCACACGGTGGGACGGGTGGCCAATGCCCCGAGGGCTTTTGTACACTTTACACTGACCCCTCAGCAAGGCTCCCTCTGGGTTGCAGGGACACCGAGCTGGGCTGCCAGTGGACATGGAGCCTGAGCCTGTGGAAATCCACAACCGCACGGACCGCTTCGGGATTGTGCAGTGAGTCCTCCGTGCTCCCCTCAGCCCCTAAAGCACCTATCTCAGCTCGGGGTGGGTTTGCTTTTAGAAAAAACCTCCTGAGGCCCTGAGGCCATGTCTCCCCAGGTCAGGCCAACCTCCTTTCCAGGGTCAGACCTGCTCCCTGGCTCCCCTGCAGGTCCAGCCTGAGGTTGTTAGGCCAGAGGAGACGGGCCCATCCAGGCAGCGGGTGGGAATGGAGAGGGGACTAGATCAGGCCCCGTCTCCAAATTAGCCCAAGAGGAGCGGGGCAGCCTGAGGGTCTAGCCCTGTCCACCTACAGACAACCCCAGTGAGATCCAAGGTTTGTGGCCACAGGGTGAGGAGTCGCCTGGCCCAGCCTCGGGGCTATCGTCCAGCAGGTCTCTGAGGGCCCACCGGCCCCGTTCTCCCCCATTTCCC